GGACTCGCCAAAAAATATCACCCCGACACGAACAAGGATGCCAATGCAAAAGAAAAAGTTTGCGGAAGCACAGTCTGCGTACGAGCTACTTTCGGATTCGGAAAAAAGACAAGCCTATGACCCGGTTTGGCTCTGCAGCATTTGATCAGAACGGCGAGTTCAATCCCAGAGCCGGCACTGGTGCCGGTGGTCCATTCTCTGGAGCAACCGCAGGTGGATTCCACGGGTTTGGCGGGGAGTTCCCTGGCGGGGGATTCTCTGCGGATATAAATTTTGAGGATCTATTTGGTGCTTTTACAGGAGGTGCAGGCAGGCGGGGTCGTTCGGGAGGGCCATTCCGATCCTCAGTAGTCGAAGGAGATGATATCGAGGTACAGACGAACATCTCTTTCATGGATGCTGCCAAGGGGACGACGAAGGAGATTCATATCACTCCTCTTGTTCAATGCAAAACGTGCAATGGTGAAGGGACGAAACCGGGTAGGAAGCGAGCACAGTGCAAAACTTGCGGTGGCACAGGATCACAGGTTCATTTTATTCAGGGAGGATTCCAGATGGCTAGTACCTGCGCCTCGTGCGGAGGCGCTGGTGTGTCGATTCCGAGAGGCTCGGAATGCAATAGTTGTGGCGGCGATGGTGTAGTCCGGGAACGCAAAACAGTGCATGTCAACATCCCGGGGGGTGTGGAGGATGGCATGCGACTGCGGGTCCCAGGTGAGGGAGACATGCCCACAGTAGAACCCGGTACTCGAACGCAGCGTGGCGATTTGTATGTCTACATCAAAGTCGCCCCTGATTCGCGCTTCAGCAGAGCCGGTTCCGATGTGCTATACACGGCACAGATTCCTCTCACCACTGCACTACTGGGTGGTGAAGTCACGGTACCAACACTAGATGGAGAAGTCAAGGTCAAAGTGGCCACAGGAACTGGTACTGGGGATAAAATCACCCTGTCAGGGATGGGGATGCGGAAGCTTGAAGGCCGCCGCGGCCAACAGGGTGACCTCAAGGTTGAATTCAAAGTTGCCATGCCGAAATACCTGAATGCCAATCAGCGAACGATCCTGGAGGTACTTGCTGACGAGATGGGCGACAAGACTGCTCGTCGGACAATGAACATCCACACAAACGACAAGTGAGTAGAAAGCCCGTCAGGTGTAAGATGTCGTGATGGGCGGAGAGTTGACCACGTATATTCTTTTCTTTCTTTAGGTCCTCTTCCCCCGACTCATCAACAACAAACAAAGACAGTGGCAGCACATTCAGCGGCTACTCACACAAAAACGAAGGCTTCCTCAAATCAGCGTGGCACAAACTCATGAATCAGCACGGCAGTGGCAGTGGTGGCGGAAGCAATTCCACTGAAAAATCCAATAACGCTGACGACGGGAACAAAACTGACGAATCGAAGAAAGCCTCCGGTTCAGGATGATGCATATATCCCACATTTTTCTAAGATGTTGAAGTGTTGTTGTTTTCACCCTGTCTTTTGTTTGTTGCTTTTATTCAAGGTGATTGCAAGCCAGGGATATCCCTCACCTTGTTTTTTTTTTACCTTCTTGTACATACATGTCGCTTCCTCGTAATGGTTGGCTTAACATTTTCCGTTTCATTGTTTCATTTGACTTTCTTGGGAGTTGTATGGATTAAATAAATGCATGGGCGAGGTTGGACATTTAGACCATTTGGTGGGGAATTGGGATTGGATTTTCCCATTTTCTC